ATGAGGAAATTAAAGCCAAAAATTTTTAAGAATCTTTTTAAAATGTGAATCTTTTTAATGTAGTATCTTTACTATAACCAGAAAAAAATTCTATTGATAAAAAGGAACAGCTACCAAATAAATAAATAAGAACCTTAAGTGATTTACCAATGAAAAACCACAGTTTGAAATCTTGTATATATAATTGGTATCTGGAGAATGTTGAGTATAGGATACTGTGAAAAGAAATTCTAACATTCAGTCTTTCTTACTGTCTTAATCTGTTTGTATTGCTTTATCTGAACACTTAAGATTGGGTATTTCACAGGGAAGAGAAATCTGTTTCTCACAGTTCTGGTGGCTGGGAAGTCCAAATCGAGGTGCTGGCATTGGGAAAGGGCTTTCTTACTTTATCATCCCATGGTGGAAAGGAACTGAGAGGTAAAGAAAGTGGCAAGAGGAGGCCAAATTCATCCTTATACACAGAACCCACTTTCATCACAGCAGTGTTAGTTCATTCATGATGAACGCGTCCCTGTGACCCAACATGTTCTATCAGGCTCCAAATGCCAAGAAATTCGGGGTCCTAGCACATCAGCGTTGGGGGTTGCACTGACACTATTAAAATACATGAATGGAATGTGCTAAAGTCATGTTAATTAGAAGCTTCAGAAGAAGTTATATCAAGGCAAATTGGTCATTATAAAATGTCAGAAAAAAAATATCACAGTGAATATAAATTCAGGAAGAGTAGTGATATCCTAGAATATTTCACTGAGTTCTCACTGAGTATTCATGAACAGGTAATCAATCCATTTCCTAACCTTTTATAGATTTTATATTTAATCTTATTTTGCTTTATGAGAAAAAGAAATGTTAAACTGCTTAGCTGCAGAAATGAAGAAGATAGTGTACACGAACATCATTTGACTTAAATTTGTACACTTACACAGCCAACTTCATTTCCATAACTGCTGAATGATCAAAAAAAGTTAGAAAATTTCTGATTACTAATGTTATAAAAAGGTGCACTTCTGGCAATTAGTATGAGATCAAACTCCAAATATGTTTGATAGTGTTAGAATCTTAAACAGCTGAAACCACAAAACCAGCACTATGTAGAATGTAGTCTGTTTGTATGGACGTGGAGTGTGTACATGCATACATAATATAAATACATCTCAGAACTTAAAATAATAGTAGGAAAGGAACATGCCATGGAGAAGTCCTTGACTTGGATTCTTTCCATTAACATAGTAGTACAAACACACACAAGCACCCTCTGATCTTCCTAGTTCCGTTCTCACACTATCTAATGCACTGATGTATGCATTTTGATGTATGCACTAAAACTCTATGTGATTTGGTCTTTTACCAGTCAATGCATGAAATCATGCAAAAGAAAGACTGGTTCACTGAACTCTGCCTGTGAAGCCTTTTATTTTCTCAAATTTCTCTTCAGCTGTCAAGAGCTATATCGTTCTTATACTAACCTTCACCCAGGGCCTCAGGGAGGACTGAGATCAAAAGCAAATCAATGAGTATCTTCTGTGCTTCAGCCAACACTTAGTGATGGTAAAATAGGGCAAAATTGGCAGCAAATACAGCCTGAAAGGGGAAATGATTGGTTACTTTATTGACCCATTCTTTCATGTTTTCTGCTGAGATTGTGTTTGGGGTCAATTTCGAGCAGGTCATTTCAATGTGTGAGCTCTTTAGTGGGACTGTTTTGTGTTTTGGGTGGTTTTTCTCCATGAAACCTAACAATATCTGAGGTTTTCCCTATGGAGAGCTTTTTATTTATTTTTATTTATTTTTATTTTCTGACATGCAAAATATCAATGTTACACATGAAAGTTTCTTCATTACTTGGTTGCTATGGTGAAAGGATTTGGAGACATAGGTCAGAGATCTGGCTCTTCAGCATCCCCCCCCATAAAGGTGGTTGTATAATTTCTTCCAAATTGTGAGTGACACTATAATACACGTCTATAGTAGCACATCTTTATTTGCAGGCTAGTATTTTTCCAGGCTCTTATCACGAGAAACCTCACAAGATGGTGTTGGTACTGTTTCTTCTTGAGCCACAGCATCTTTCTCAGAATAGTGACCCAGGGTGCCAATTTAACACATAATACTTGCTGTAACATTTAAAATTGATATCCATACTTGTCTACATGATCTCTAAATGACCTCTAAGATGTAATATTATATGTCTTCTCACTGCAACTTTTTATTATTCCTATTTTTATTTTACAGAAAATTTTCAGTTCTCCTTGCTAATATGTGTAGCAGGATAGGTAATAACAAAGAGGAATCTAAAAATAACACATTTACTTATATCAAAACAGCTAGTGTTAGCATCTGTTTAGTTTATGTTCTTACTAATGAAATAACAGGCAGTACGTTACTTTCCCCATCCACCAGGAATACATTTCAAGACACCCCCCGCCCCGTGCATGCCAGAAACTGTAGCTAGTACTGAAACATGCATGTACTGTTTTTCCCACTACATGCATGCCTATCTTTTTTTTTTTTTTTTTTTTTTTTTTTTGGTACCAGGGATCGAATTCTGGTCTTTGCGCTTGCATAGCAGGCTGAGAAACCACTGAGCTAAATCCCCAGCACCATGCATGCCTATCTTAAAGTTTAATTTATAAATTGTGTAAAATGAGATTTAAAATAATAATAAAGTAGAAAGCATAGCAATATACTGTAATAGATGTTACATGGATGTTGAAAAATAACAAAATATCTTACTGTACTGTTCTTACTCTTCTTGTGATAAACTGAGATGATATAATGCCTGCTGAATGAGATGAATGGAGGTTACGGACATGGGCACTGTGACTTGGTGTTAGGACAGCACTGAGCTCACTGTGACACTATGACACCATGACAGGCTGCCTAAGAACTGAGAGGGCTGCTAAATGAACAGCAGGTAGCCCATGTGGATCATAAAGATTCACAGCCTGGGGTGGAATGGAACAGGATAGCGTGACAATTCATCGATCTACTTAGTATAGCATGGAATTTAAAACTAATGAGATATTTCTGGAATTTTCCAAATGCTGTTGACCACAACTAAACTGAAACTATGGTAATATTTGGAAGAAATAAGACTATACAGTGGAGCAAATTTTTCTGCTTTACATAATTAATATACAACTTTTCATGTTTAGTTCATCTTTCTAAATCTAAAGATTGAAAGGGACAATTTTCCTATTATGTTTTATGTGAAAATGAATTTTTTGTTTGAAATTTAGAACTTTATAACTTTGTAACTTTTGTGATTCAGGTACTAAAATGTTTTATTTACTTAATGATTTGTAATTATTTGAATCTAGAGATTGAATCTAACCTTGTACATGTCAAGGCATTCTTATTTTTATTTTAAATGCTAAATGAATCAAACTTTCACACAAAGTGTATTTTAAAAGTTAATTTTGATTTGCCTTTATGGATCAATAATACACTCATTTACCACTATAATGAAGTAAACTTTTGACCAGTACTTTTGCATAAATTCATTGCAATTATGTTTAAATTTTTATTGCTTTCTTTTTTTTTTTTTTTTTTGGTACCGGAGATTGAACTCAGGACCTTGTACCTGCAAGGCAGGTGCAGTGCCACTGAGCTAAATCCCTGGCCCTATATTGCTTTCTAGAAATGTTGGATTCATGGACATGAATAGAATGTATGATTATTTTTCTAAAATTTCAGCTCAATTTGTGATGATCTAAAAAAGCATTCATCCTTGATGATGTCTTGAGCATTTACTTGAAATCAATATACTCTCCCTCATAAGGCAATGTTTGAAAAAAAGTCCTTAATGATTACTAATTTACTTTGCGTATATCAGTTGACTTACCATTAATAATAATAAATGCATGTGATTTTTATATTCTTATCATTAGCATGGCACTTCTAAACTCACACTTTAAATCAATCAACCTTCATCAATAGGCTAATTAATTGCATGGAAGGGATTGACCTATAAATTTCATTTAAGTTTTTCAAGAATTATATAAAAAATCTGTAAGTCTTAAGTCTGAGAATGTTATACTAGAAAGACTAAAATTTAGAATGAAATATGAACCAATTATAACACCTGAACTTCTCAAAGAGAGGTAATTTTTGCTTTCATTCATTCTGAATTTGTTTTTGCATTTATTTCTGACCTCTTACCTCCGAACAGTGGCATTCTGAGATATCACTTAACTATTTTTTCAACATATGTTGTCTTTATCTTTAATTATAATTTATATTTGGTACAGTTTTAAGTACGCTTGAAAACTACATTTTCAAACACAGAAGAATTAAAATGAAATTAAAACTGAAATCATGTCAAGTAATACAACTAGAAATTATTCATCTAGGAACAGAATGCGATAGTTACTAAAATTTAGTGTTTTATTTGATGCTAAAATAAAGCAAAACAAAGAAGAAAACAAAAATATTTTTCTCCATTTTATTGAGAAAGAAAAGGTGTCATTGAATATTTAGAGGCAATGGTGGCTCTGTTATAGGGTCAGAAATGCCTTCCTCCATCCTTCATCTCACTCTCATTCAATCACCAGTTTATTCTCTACTGTTTGAAAACCTGTCTTATATACTTAGTAAGCAATTATTTTTTTTCTGGATTATAAAGTGATAATTACAAAGGTTCATCAACTGTCAATTGAATATCATATGAAAAACAAATAACAGAAACTACATTGTCTCTAATCCTCGCAATACCACCAGGTTCACACTATTTTATCCTCTTTGCAGATGGCAAACGTGAACCCAGGGAAGCTAAGTAACTTGCACAGTCACATAGCTATTAGGCCAGAATTCTTGAACTGAATCTCAAAGCTCTTTGTAATTTGAGGATCTACTCATATAGAATATTGTGGTTTTTTGAAAAAAAAGATGTGCATCATTGGGTAATTGTTCTGTAAATTGTTATCCGCTGCTGTACAAATAGAGAAATAATGCCAAACCCATTGACTTCTGAATATTACTGTGCTCTCTTGCAGCCTGTGAACTTATGAACCAAGGTATCCTAGCGCTGGTCAGCTCCATTGGCTGCACATCAGCCGGGTCCCTGCAGTCTTTGGCAGATGCTATGCATATCCCACACCTCTTCATTCAGCGCTCAACAGCTGGGACCCCACGAAGTGGCTGTGGACTCGCTCGGAGCAACAGGAATGATGATTATACACTCTCCGTTCGGCCCCCTGTCTACTTGAACGATGTGATTCTAAGAGTAGTCACAGAGTATGCATGGCAGAAATTCATTATATTCTATGACAGTGAATATGGTAAGTCTTTATAATATGTGTGCATTTTATAAGTTGATTTTAGCATGAGAAGCAAGTACATTAAATCCTGAAAAATTTCAAGGAGATTACTCATTTATGGTTTTCTTGTTATAGTCTTACAAAACTAAGAGCATCAGCCAAACATTTTGCCAACACCATTAAGTTCACCGTTTTGTATTAAATACTATTGGAGTCAGATTTTAAAATAAAATCTTTACATAATACTGTTTAAAAATATTTCTAAAGGAATCTGACTTCTGAATATCTTGATTTTCAAATAATGGAGAGTCACAAAGATGGTATTCTGTTTCCTTTCAAAGAAATATGTACCTCTTTATGATAGTAAAAGAACACTTTTGATAGGTTCCAGATCACTGAAGAAAGATAATTTCTGGTTATTTATTAACTAAAATCCCTGATTATCATGCTTACTCTACTGTCTATATCTAAATGTCTACTCAATATTTAAGTCAATTGAGTCACTGAAACTATATTACTTTACTGTTAGCACTGCATATTGCCTTGAGTATGGAATTTCACAAAGATACAAGGTAGTATAAAAACAAGTTATTTAACCCACCAAGGTGAAACACAAAGCATTGTTCCTAAACTCACTACAACTTGATGAGAAAACATTTTGTTTCAGTATATTTACTTGTATGACATTAAGAATGCAAGCAAAAAAATAGTATATTTTTCATTAAGCTTTTTTTCTGAAATTGTTTACTTGTTTAATACTGATTCCAAACATTTTTCAAATACAGTTTCCCTCTTATTTTCATAAGCAGTGGGGAAAAGTGGAAGAAAAATGAGTGTGATCAATGCAGGAAAATAAACAGTCTCAATGAAGAACACTGCCATGAGAGTTAGCATATGGAGGGTTGGTGCAATGATTTACCCATAGCAAGAAATGTAGGAAAGTCAGGAGATGGGTTCACTCCAAGAAAGCAGCAGGCAATTTCCAAGTGGGAAGTGAGAGATGGGCTCTTTTTAAAAAATTGTTTGTATGACTTGTGATACATAATAATTACATTCATTATGCATTTACACATCACGGGTAGATCATTTTACCCCCTTCCACCTTACCTATCCCCTCCCCATTCCCTCAGGTCCCCTTCTCATCACAAAGTCTACCTCCCTGTTTCCTACCATCTCTCTTTTATTTTGCTCTTGAAACTATGTATATTTTGAGATTCTCAGATAAGAGAAGACACACAATATTTATCCTTCTATGTCTGATTTATCTCACTTATCTGTATGTTCCCAAAATCCATTTATTTTCCTCCAAAAAGATTCAAATGTATCCTTCTTTATGGCTAAGTAATATTCTGACCTGTGTGTATATATACACAACTTTTTTCATTCGTTCATCAATTGATGGGCATATAGGTCACCTCTATAATTTTATCTATTGTAACTGTACTGCTATAAACAGAGATATGCATATATTGCTATAATAAATGACTTAAATTCTTTCAGGAAGATATCCCAAAGAAGAATAGCAGAGTCAAATGGAATTTCTATTTTTAGTTTTTGAGGTTGTGGTTTCTATAAGGGACTAAGGATGTGGGAAAAGGGTCCCAGTGAATGTTGATATCTCAGAAATGCATATCCTAGGGCATCTTGTTTCTTGTTCATCTTACAGGAACATCTGTGTTGTAACTATAGTTGTACACCACAGTTACAAGTTGACAAGGTCACTAACTCCAGATTGGCAGAAATCCTTTTAGTTTTAGATAAGGATGTCTTGAGTACATTAACTGTTTAAGAGAAGATGAGCCAGGGCTCACTGGAAAGAATGGATGGATGTTTAATTTATTTTTATCCTGTGCTGTTTATGGTCAGGTTAGTGCAGTACCTGTGGTGTCCCTGGAGGTGCTGGGCATGTTAAGGTCAGCAGATACATTCTGTTGCTGAGAGTTTTAACTCTTTCATCACCACAAATGCAGATTTAGAAATGTGTTTCTTCAGAGGTTGTCTTGAGTAGTCTCTAGAACTTTTTTTTTTTCCTGAATGAATGGATCTTGTTTCCACACTTTTGCTAAAAGAAAATCAGAGAGGATTTCACTCTTGGTGGTACAATTTGTTTGGCTTAGCAAATAAGTAAATAAGCATTTAAAAATAAAAATGTAATAAAAACCAGTGCTTTCTTGTCATACATAATCTACTGAGCATTATGAGCAATATTGGAGAACAGCTACATTTGAGTAAGACAGAAAGCAGTATCAATAGAATGGAGAACAAACAGGAAATCATAAATCTGGACAGCAACAAATAAGAGTTCCTGTGAACCCCAGGGGGGTGAGAACAAGTGGCAGTTACATTTAGGCCTAAATAGACAAAGGTTGTTTGGGGCTTTGGCAACCAGAGTCCCATTAAACTTGATGGGTGTATTCAGCCAGAGTTGGTGGCACTCTCTCAAAACACACTTTTCTTGTTATTTCCAGGATGGAAACCCATATTTTTGCTGCTTTGTTTGTGTTATTTAGGGGTCATAGAACAAAGACTAAGACACTGAAATGAACAAAACAAAAACGATAAAGAAAATAATTGGGTCATAGTGGAACTAACAATTAAAACCATGAAGTCTGAAAATTCTCTGACAGGATTATTTAGTAAACGATCTCCAGAATCAACAAGTTGAACATGCTTTTGCCAGTTTTCCTCCTGTCAGATTATCTGTGACCTTTAAAACCTTAAGTGGTATGCTTATGGCTTCTAATCAAAGTAAGTTGAAATAATGAATTTTTAAAACCTTGAGTCTTTAGGGCAAGACAACACCTTTCAGTTAGTGCTATCAAAAGAGTCCTATAAAAAAGAGAACAGAGAGTGGTTTTGGATTAAGGCCTTTTCATACCTTTAAAGTGAAAATTTTGCCCTTTGATTATCAAGGCCTGTGAGGAAAGAAATATCTCCTGTTAGCTTGTTTCCAAGTCCTAAAGGGATGACAGTTTTGAAAATGTACCCTAAAAACAGAATAATAGAATCATTTGCACACATTTGAAATCCCTCATTCTTTCTTCATTTTCCTTTAAGTAAATAAAATGTTATTATTACACAATGCCTGACTGGGTCCTCTATTAGATACAGGGGGTTTTTTTTAGAGATAATAAAAACCTTTAAACTTGATAAACTTGTTTTTGACTTATTTAATTTAATAATTCATGAAAAATTACCTTGCTTCTATCATTAAAATTATTACCAGTAATACCATTATTTAAAGAAAGAAAATTTCTCTTTGATACTTGAAATAAATCTTAGTACTAAAAAACTAGGCTGCAGTCCAAAATAAACATCAAGCTATAAATACCTTGTACCGTGAAGAAGGCTACATGTATTTATATATCCATTCATCAATGTCATCATTTTAAGTTCAAACCTTGAAATTGTGCTTGACTTTTATCTTGATTATCAGGAATTGCTTTCATTAATAAATGGTTTAAATAGCATCTGTGGATAGAATCGGGTAGCCTATTGGGGCCAAATGCTATTGCAGGTGTAGTTTGCTTTAAAAAACAAATTTATTTTTAAGAGTTGGGCTTCTATATCCAGTTAATCAGAGAAACACTTTTTTCAGCAGCAGTTAATTATGGTTAAGGGCACAATGTAAAGGTCTACATTACATTCCCCAACAAAGAAAATTCACATCTTTTATTCTAGGTAAATGTGTAAAAGGAGAAAAAAGAAAGAAAATTGGAAACTTTATTTAAATGGGTCAATTCAAGACACTTTAGAAAGGCTTGAAAAGAGGTTAGAAATGTTAAACTTTTAAAAATGTGTCAATCAAGAACAATTCATTGCTCATTTGCTTAGTGCAATGCAAAATATGAGATAAAAAGCTTTACAGACTGTAGTCATAGGCTTAAGAAGCTTATAGTTAACAAAAGAGGTAAAATATTTATGCTTCTCAGTGCACAAAATAGTGGAATGAGTATTATGAATGGTGCAAAGTGGATGGTAGTGGTTTGTAATGAAGAAAGTATTTAATTTTGGCAGCAGTGCTTAAAGAAGCCTATATGGGTCAACTTCAATATTGGTTATTAAAATTAGGTAGGATTTTGGGAAGTAACTATATGGGAGAAACAGCCACTTCAACAGAAATCTGATTAAGCCTTGCAACAACTAAACATTAAAAATATATCTGAGTATTTTTATTTGCCAGGTACTACAATAAATATTTGTATTATATTATTTGATCTTCTCAACAGTAAATAATATATTCACACAGACTATCCTTATATAAAACATTTACAGTATCCAGGCTCTGTTTTATGTGATTTACAAATGTATTATTCCATTTGTTCCTCACATAGCCTTCTGTGATAGTAATTATTATAACTGAAAAAACAGGATAGTGGGAGTTCAAGAAACTTCCAATAAACAAAGAAGCCCAAGTTCAAACACTGCTGGTTTCTTACTGCTTTCAACCACTAGCATATTTTGAAACTCTGGGAGTGAAATAAGATTAATTTTTGACAATTTGTGAAATAAAACCTACTTTGACAAATTAAATGTATAGAACCCTCATTATTAAAGAAAGACAATGACTTCAAGCCCATGGACTTCCTACATAATAACATCAAGATAAAACAGTCTATTTCAGTTTAGAAGGTTTAGTTGTCATTGGTAGCATAGAAACAGAATAGTGGCTGAGCCAAAACAAGCTGACCTATCAGTAGCAGAAATAGTTGCTTATCTACAAAATAACCCTATTCCAGATTAGGGAGAATGGACATTAACCCTCTTGGCAGAGCAAGCAATGAGCCTCATGTTAATGTCAGTTCTTCTTGACCTCAAGCCCACAAGGCAATGTGAAGTAGTTCTGGTGGATACTGTTCATGTAATGGGCTTATGTGGTGACTGAGGAACCCTGAGGTGTGGTATATCATCTTCTCTCATGAGAACTTCTGCTTTCAAAATGTGCAGTAACATTAAAGACTAATGGAGAATTGGCTCTCAGTAATATTCACTCTCTTTCTACATTGTTGGCCACTAGTAAA